CTTGTGCAGACAAGTGTGAGAACCAAGGATGGGATATACTCAAGGCTCTGTGACAGTGGGGAGGAAAGGAGATCCAGTCCTGGCTAGAAGGCACAGGAAGCATTAGGAAGGCGTTTGCGGAGAGATGCCATTTGCAAGCTAGCAGAGGCAGATAAAGTGGACAGCACAGGGCGATCCCGAGGACATGCCCAGTCACCACAGAAAACGCTGCCAGAAAATGCAGGTCCGGAGGGAGCATGTAATGGGCCCCAAAGCTCTACAGTCTTTGGACCAGAGAGAGGTGAGACCACATTCTATGACCTAAGGTAAAATGAAAAATTTTTTAAAAGGCAAAGATGGCCGGGACCGGTTTGGCTCAGTGGATGGAGCGTCGGCCTGTGGATTGAAAGGTCCCGGGTTCGATTCCGGTCAAGGACATGTACCTTGGTTGCGGGCACATCCCCAGTGGGGAGTGTGCAAGAGGCAGCTGGTCAATGTTTCTCTCTCATCGACGTTTCTAACTCTCTGTCCCTCTCAATTCCTCTCTGTGTAAAATCAATAAAATATATTTTAAAAAAAAAAAAAAAGGCAAAGATGTGTTTGGTAACAAGAATGCAAAACAGGACGGGTTTGAGCCAAAACAAAATACCTCATTCATAAGTATTCTGCTTTGAATTTAATTATATTTATACTCAAACTTGGGCTCTAGGTGAAAACACACACACACACACATACACACACACATCCACTTTTAACCACCTTCTCAAATGTGTGAATCTGAGTAAAAGAAGCCAGACTCAAAAAGTTATGTACTAGGTGACCATTCATCTGACCTTCTAGAAAAGACACACACACACAAAAAAAACGATAGAAAAAGAAAAGTCTGTGGTAGCCAGTGCTGGGGGTAGGGCAATGAATGGACTACATAGAGCGCAACAGAATTTTCTGGGTGATGCAACTTTTATAACCTGATGACTACACGACGATATGTATTTGTCAAAATTCATAGAACCATTTACTAAAAAGGGTGACTTATTTACTTTTTTTTTAATCCTCACCCAAGGACATGCTTAGAAAGAGGAACAGGGTGGGTAAGAGAGAGAGAGAGACAGACAGACAGACAGACAGACAGTCATCTGTGTAAGAGAGAAACATAGATCAGTTGCCTTTCGTAGGCGCCCTGACCAGGGATCGAACCTACAACCAAGGTCTGTGCCCTGATTGGGAATCAAATTGGCGATCTTTGGGTGCCCAGGATGACACTCAACCAACTGAACCACTCGGCTGGGGAAAAAAAAAAAAAAAAAAAAAGGTGGCTTTTATTGCGCATAACATTACTTTTTTTTTAAACCAGCAAGAGCCGATACCGATTTGGCTCAGTAGATAGAGCATTGGCCTTGTGAACTAAAAGGTCCCAGGTTCAATTCGGGTCAAGGGCATGTACCCTGGTTGCAGGAACATCCCCAGTAGGGGGTGTGCAAGAGGCAGCTGGTCAGTGTTTCTCTCATCGATGTTTCTAGCTCTCTATCCCTCTCTCTTCCTCTCTGTAAAAAAATCAATAATATATATATATATATATTTTTTTTTTTTTTTTTTTTAAACAGCAAGAATAAAATTGACTTTCCTGGAAGCGATACTCACCAGTTCCCACACTACACACTGAGCTAGAGCTGCTAAAATCTCTTTAACGTCAAAATTCTGCATTCTGCCTTTCCCCATGGCCACATATCATTGACTGCTTTGGCACCTCCTGCCAAACTTTTCTCCGAATCCTCCTAGTATCGAAGGCAGGGATTCAGCTCCTCTCTCTGGAATCAGCCTGACTCCCCAAGTCACATGTCTTCCATCCTCACAACATGCCAGGTAATGCCACTGGCTGACCCAAGGCAATGCCAAGGATGTCCTGGCCCCACTGGGAAGTTCTTCATGTCCTGAGGCTCAAGACCACTGTCTTCCACGCATCCTGACAGTAACTTGATACATAAAGCAGACATCACAGACTCAGAAACCAGGCTGAAACTTGATTCCTGGGCATATCAGGCCGTTGACAGAGACTCTAAATGTCTTTAGAAAGAGCCAGCAGTGGCCTACAGGGCCAAGCTGCTGGCAGTTTACACCCCCCCTAAAATGGTAATGTGCACGCTAAGCAAACCCAGTAGTAGGAGCAGTAGTTTTCATTGATTTGCACCTGCTCTCCTCATTAATAGAGATGCAGATGCAAAATCTGCTGGCTCCTGTCTTCAATTTCTCGATGAAAAACACAAATAAATGCAGCGTGAGCTGAAAAGCAACACTTCCTGGTTGTTCTCTGAATGCTGAAAAGAAAAGAAAAATTATTTTTTTTTACCTGTTTGGATCCCTAGCTGGCTGGTTCTGGAAGAGGCCGACAGAAAGTCCTGATCCCAGATAGGAGAGTTTTGACTATAAACTTCTTCTTCTAACATGGACAGAAACCTAGACACAAGGGTAAGAACAGCAGCAAAATCAAAAACAAATATACCGCCAGAGGGACAGCAGCTAGCCCTCTATGGCCATCACTGAACATCAGCATCATGACACCATCAACTCAGAGACAGGCTGGTCAATTACAACTCAAATGATGATTGTTAGTTGGACAGGGCTGGCATAGTTAAACACAGAAATCCGTTTCTACAAATTTATTTTCTTGGACTATGCATAGACTGAGTCTCAGTAAGGCCTCAGTCCCGCAGCAGTTGTCATTATCAGTCATAACCGTGACAAAAGTTGCTAACATTTATAGAGTGCTTGCTCTGTGCCTGTATTGTTCTAACTTCTTGAATCCCCAATGTGGACTCCACGAGTAAAATACTTTACTTTTATTTATCCCACACACGTATAGCTCTCATTCACCAGATTCTCATAACCTTACAGATGAAAAAACGTACAGCAGAGAGAGGGTAAGTCACTGGTACAAAGTCCCACAGCTAGTCAATGCAGGACCAAGAGTGAACCAGTGATTCATTACCAACTTATACTTCCTATCACAGTATGAACCAAGTGGATCTCAAGTTTTGGGGGCCCACAGAAATTACCTGGAGACCTTGTCTGAAACACAGCTACCCAAACCCCACCTTGACTTACTGAATCCGAGACTGTGAGAATGGGCCTTGGGGAACTACATTCTGGTTAAGTACCTTAGATCAGTGGTTGGCAAACTCGTAAGTCAGCAGAGCCAAATATCAACAGTGCAACGATTGAAATTTCTTTGGAGAGCCAAACTTTTTAAACTTAAACTATATTAGCTGAATTAGGGTACTCCTAAACTGGCCTTGGCTAAAAACTCAAGAGGCCAAAGAGCTGCATGCGGCTCGCAAACCGCAGTTTGCCGACCGCTGCCTCAGACAATTCTTACATACATCAAAACGGAAGAACTGCAGTTAAAACGCTAACACAAATCTACACTCCTGGCACTGGAATGTCCCCCTGCAGACCACTTTTAAAGCACATGCCTTCGAGTCGAAGAACAAGGATACTGGCTGAGGGCTTGGGTTCTAGAATCCATTGACGAAGCTCAGCACTTACAATTGGTAGGATCTTGAAAACAAGTTCTTAACTCTCACCTTTCCTAGTTTTCTCTTTTATAAAATGGAAATACCAACAATAGTTCCTGCACAGGGCGGTCATGAGGGATAAGCTAATGACCCTAGTAAGTGTTCCATTCATTCAACAAATATCAACTGCCCCCTTTTATGTGCCAAGCAATGGGTTAGATGCGAGAAGGACAGGGTGAACAAAACAACCACGCGCCCTCAGGAAGCACGATGGTGTACTAAAGGTTAGCTCCTATAAGCCATCTGCATCCCTCTGCTGAAATTGTAAAATCCAAAAGCCCTTAAAAAAGGTTTTCCATGACCCATTTGGCAGCAAAACCTGACCTTACCATACATAAGACTATTTATAGTCTTCATAATTATAAACGATTTAATTTGAGGGAATTCACCTCAGCCCTAGAGCTGTGGCATACAGCACATGTGTTATATTAATTGCCTTTATAAAATGTTTAAGCTTTTGAGTTGTAAAACTTACCTAGTACTACGATTTTAGATAACTGATCAAAGACCTGTTCTGGTCATCATCATCATCATCAACATCATCACTAATACTAAAAGTACCTGTATTCTTATCATGTATCAATGCCTGCAAGATTTTAGACCGTTTCAGGAGGGACGTTGGTTTTTTGGAAGTGAAAGCAGATAGGAAAAGGTCCTGGGAGGAGGGGGAGGGGAAGGGTGGGAGGGTGGGAGGAAGTGTTTTCTGACTTGCTGCTCATAGAAGATTTACAAACAAGGAGGTACCATCTGAGTGAATGCCTAGCCTCACTCCATGATGTAATTCATGAGTCACTTCTCCTTGCTTAGTAAGCCATGGTGAAGGCATGTTTTAAAACACTTCAAGACCCAGAGATAAGGAGCCATGGGTCAGCCTGTTGGACCTCAGAGGGAGGGTGGGGATAAAAGGGAGAGATCAACCAAAGGATTTGTGAGAACATATATGAGCCTAACCAGTGGTCAGGGACAATAGGGGGGTGGGGGCATGAGTTGGGAGGGGTGGGGGATTGGCATGGGGAGTTGAGGACAAATATGTGAGATCTTAGTCAACAAAAAAAATTTTTTTTTAAAACACACACACTTCAGTATATTTCTTACCACACACATTCAGACAGATAGCAACAGGAGCTAAATTCCTTCCTAAGATCACTTGTGATCTCGCAGAGGAGAGGAGGTTCCTGATTCTTTTCCCCTTTTCCTAAGCAGACCTGCCTTTCTCTTATACCACCCTCAAGATTTCCCCACTGCCCTGTCACAGAAGTAAATCTCCTTTCTCACTCTTTGTTCAGTAATTATACGATCAGCACGCTCTTCACAGAGCTGGGCACAGACCCCACCAAAAAAAAAAAAAAAAATGCCATTAACTTTGGGAATAATTACAGGTGTGTTTTATATATATATATATACACACATACGTGGTTATTTCATTATAATAAAAAACAGTTTTGTATGATGACACGGAAAAGTGCTTGTTTTATAAACACAGGAACACAAAATTGTATGGAGAGTAAAAGAACACCATACACAGTCAATATATAGAAATATCTAAAAGCCCTGATGATAGGGCTGTGGCTGATGTTTTGCTTCTTAACCGAGTTTTCATTAATATCCCTTGAATGAAATATAGATACTAAACCTTTTTAACAACAACCTTGTTAGCAGGTCGATTGGGGGAAAGGCACAAGTTAAGGCCAAGTGGGAGAAAGGACAGCGTATGAAGAGGAGGCAGGCAAGGCAGAAGACCCTGAAAATGCCTCTGAGAACCATGTGACCTCCCGGGGTGGTGTGGAAGGACTGAAGCTCTCACTGGGCGATGGTCCCCAAGACTCAACCAGCACCTCGGGCTTCAGCACGTGCGTGATTCCGCTGCCAAACCTGTAGGAATAAATGCCTAACAGCCTCCCATGTTGTCCTAGTCCATGAATAGAGATTTCAAAGGAGAAGAGGGTGGTAGTTCTACCCTACCATTAGTGAGAGAAAGAAAAAGCCGCATTGATTAGCTCAATAGCACGAGCATGCCAGAACTTTGGGCTGAAGGAACAAAACACCCTATAATTAGCAAATATCTGCAAGAAGCAAAATGCATGTACTATGGGAGAAGGGGGGAGGGGGATTGTTACTAAGCAAGGTAATCAAAATTTCTCTTTAAGCACCATCCACGGTGGGGGTGGGGGGAGGGTCCTCTCTGTTCCTTTGTCCCCTAGCTTAGAGACCGAATGACAACTATAATTTGAAGACACAACATGCTGCTTCTGTAGCAAATGTAATAGAGGCGTTGGTAAGACAACTGCTTTAAGCTAAGGAGAGGCGCTTAGACTAGCTCAAAGGCAGCCACCAGCAGAGATGAGCATGCCCAGAGTTCATAAACCACTGAGGGACAACATCCACACTGCAGATTAAATGCTTCTGAATCTTCCCCTCTGGAGGAAGCCAGATTGCTCATGTCATGCCTCATTCTCAGCTGCCAGTTTCCTCAAAAAGAAAAGAAAAAAATACTGAAAATCAGGGTGCCAGGAGCTCTGTGAAAATATTGGATGTTCAGCAAAATCTCATCGATTCACCCAAGGCAGCCTTTACCTAGGGCAGTGGTCGGCAAACCGCGGCTCACGAGAGCCACATGCGGCTCTTTGGACCCTTGAGTGTGACTCTTCCGCAAAATACCAAGTGCGGGCGAGCACGTACAATGCGATTGAAACTTCGTGGTCCACGCGCAGAAGCCGGTTTTCGGCCTGGGTAAGTCTATTTTGAAAAAGTGGCCTTAAAACACTCAAGGGGCCAAAGAGCCGCATGTGGCTCGCGAGCCGCGGTTTGCCAACCACTGACCTAGGGCTTAGGAATTGTCTTAAGCAACAAAGGAATTTCCCATCCATTTCTACCGGGAAATCATTTTTGTTGTTGTTTTGGGCCTCACTTATTGTTTAAAATTATCTTTCCTAAGGTGCACACTGGGTAATCCAGTAATAGTAACTTTAATAATAAATAAATAAAACCGGTTTCACAACACTGGCCGAACTCTACGCCAGCAGTTCTCGACAGTGTGGAGAAGGAAGCTCTATCAGACCTAGAAAGCCTCTCCAATGATAACTTCCCTCCCTCCAGGCGCTGCTGCAGGCAGACTGAGGCCCACAAAACCCGTCTGCTCCTGTCTGCTGTCATTGCTCCATGACAAGCCGTCTGCTGCACACCCAGCCCTTCTCACCAGCAGCCAGTCTCTGAGCTGACATATCTGGTCCTCAGACTGGAAAATGCACTTCCCAGGTCTTTAACGCACTGCCTTCGTTTGAAAAAATATTTAAGTGATTATTCCTATGTCGCAGCTCTGGCGGGTGAGGGAAGCAAGGTGCACAAGAGCATGTGTGTATTCTCCATGACACTGAGCATGGAGGCACAAAGATCATTGTGAAGGAGGCCCCTCTTTTCCAGTCCAGCCCCAACCTTAGGGTCTAGTTTACAAAGGGCGAGGGGACAGGTCCCCTGTAGTGGAGGCAAGAGGCATTTGACAGTCTTAGAAAGGGTTGGGGAGCTAGAATGGAAAACAAACAAAACAAAAAAAAAACAAAACAGCCGCTTGAGCTCTCTTGCACCACTTGAGTAGATGGAAACTGCTTCTATACACTCCCCCCCCGCCCCCACCACCACCATCCCCCTCTGGCTTCCTGGCAGCTGACTTCACAAAACAGAGCACCACCCGATTCTATGAAGCTCAGAGACAAGGACACCAGGTGGGATGAGGTGGGGCAAAGAGAGGTGTGACTGGGGCCAACACAAACTCAAGCTGATGATGCACAATGCCCCAAGAGGATGTGGGGAGGGGGCAGAGGAGAGGGCCCCTTGGTCCCTGCTCCCCGGAAGCTTTTCCCATCATTCCCCATCTCGTTACTGATGCAGGCTTTGGCAGGCATCTATCAGCTTCAGGCCCCCAGACGAGACGGAGGCTTGCTAGTGTGCCCCCTTACTTTGGGAAATGGGTGAGGATTAGAGTCCGTTTCTCCAGGGGCAGTTTGTCTTTCTCCTGTCTTGCTTGTTCCAGGAGCTGGCGTCGCATCACGGTGAAGACAGAGCGAAGCAGTGTTCTCCCAAACACCTGGGTGGTTTCATACCGAGGTAGACTGTCGCAGAACTGGGGTACGTTGCAATAACACAGCCACCTGTGACGAGAGGGGACAAGCACCATCAATGTCTCTTAAACCCCCAGATCAGTGGAGATACTCAATTACGGTTCCTCTCAAACCCTTCACCGCAGCAGGAGACACTGGGGCTGCCATGATAAGCAATGGCACCACCACCAGAATGAAACCTGCGAATAAGATTAGCTTGCCCTTAAACCATCACTTGGGTCCAATTCTAGGAAAAGTGTTCCATTCTGTAGTACTCTGCAGCGAGTCCTGCGGTCAGACAGCGCAGAATCAGCTCCCTGCTTTGTCACTTCACTGGTTGCATGACTTTGGAGATTTAATTACGCTCTGAAGTCTCCATGTCCTTTCCTGTAAAAATGGGGAACAGCAATGCCTACTGCCCTGGGCTGCTAGGAGCATTATATAGGCTACTGTGTGGAAAGTGCAATTAAGAATTTCTGGCACCTAAATAGCAGTTTAGATAAAAGAAGAAATGACAGGGGAAGCTTTTGTGAAAAAATCAGATTTCCAATATCTAGTCCCTTGAATAAAATTTCGGGTTTCTTTAAAATGCCTACATAGCATGCAACATAACCCTACCCCTCACCCCCACCGCCTCCAGAAGCTTTGGTGGGAAGATAAAGATCTTCAAGACTGTTCACAACTCAAGTCAAAATGCAGGAAGTAATCAGCTTCCACCATCTGTTGCTTAGGTACATGTTCAATGACTCAGACTCAAGGTCAGAATCACACTGGGGGAGCACCGCACGAGGCTGGAGGAGTGCCCAGGCCCAGAGGGGGAGCCAGGGGCTTTCTCCAGCTCTGACGGCAGCTCTGGGGTTCGCTGGCTATGTAGGGCGTACGCTGCGGAAAGCACATTCAGCACGGGGAAGCTATTCACAACCAACCCTCTTTCTTGTTGATCTCCCAGAGCTGCAAAAGCTCATTCCCAGGACCAGCAACATTCGTGGACAGTCAGGGGGTCACAGGGGGCGGGCTGCCCCAGACCAGAGGAGTGTCAGAAACTTCACTGCAGATCCTTATTCCTTGGCAGCAGATCTAAACATCCTCTCCCAGGGCAGGCCTGCTTTCTAACCATTAAAATCTAGCCCCCCTGCCATGTCTCCCTGATCTCTTTAAAGTGAGGGGGGAAGATCTCAAATGGGCCCCGAGCAGCTCCGGGAAGCTCCCCAGGAACTCTCAGCCCCTTACTAAAAAGTGGATTATTAATTTACTTGTATTTACTGACTTATTTTTGTTGTTTTTTTCTTACTCTGTATTGCTTCACATTGTGTGTGTGTGTGTGTGTGTGTGTGTGTGTGTGTGTGTGAGAGAGAGAGAGAGAGAGACAGAGAGAGATAGAGACAGAGAAAGACAGAGAGAGAGACAGAGAGACAGAGACAGAGACAGAGAGAGACAGAGAGAGACAGAGAGAAAGAGAGAGGGAGGGAGGTTTTTCATCTTTGGAAAAGAGAACTTTCATTAGGGTTAGTCTGTCTGCTTATATTTAAAATTAACCTTAACCTTAAGCCAAAACCGGTTTGGCTCACTGGATAGAGCGTCTGTCTGGGGACTGAAAGGTCCCAGGTTCGATTCCGGTCAAGAGCTGAACTTTGGTTGCACGCACATCCCCAGTAGGGTGTGTGCCGGAGGCAGCTGATCGATGCTGCTCTCTCATTGATGTTTCTATCTCTCTATCTCTCTCTATTCCTTCCTCTCTGTAAAAAAATCAAGAAGATATATTTTAAAAATTAAATTAAATTAACCTTAAAACCCCTGCTATCTTTTATAATCTCCACTCAACTTTTCTGTCTTAATAATTTGTACTCAAATGCCATTTTACAATTGCAATGCCAAAATGGGGATCTTAAGTGTTGTGTTGCATTTTGCCACGTCAGAAACAGTGATCTTGGTGGGTGTAGTAGAAAAAAAGCACATCTGTCATAAAATCCTAACATGTTATCCAGAACTTACAAGTCATTTCATCTTCCCAGGGTGGAGGAAGAGAGCATAGATTGTTATTATCTAGAAACATTTTTCCAATAGTAAGTTTCCATTCATTTCCTTGAGTATGCATTACACACCTCAGTTTATACATGTTAGTTTACTTTAGCTTTGTTTTTTACTTCCAAGATGGGTCTTATCTTATAAACCTGTAAAGTGCACAGTATGATTAGACAAAGAGACTGAGTCCGAGTGTGGCGTTCTAATAAATGATGGGGAGGGGGGACGGAGGGCCTGTAGCGAGGGGTAGGGGAGGCCGGGGGAAGGTCAATGGGGGGAAAAAAGGAAACATATGTACAACTACTTGTAATACTTTAAACAATAACTTTTTTTAAAAAATGACATGGGGGTTGCCTGTAGTGAGATGGAAAGAAGAAAATGGGAGTTTGTGTGTCTAGTCTCCGCACACACATTCCTCCAGAGACTTCACTAGAGAAAACTATTTTGCCCAAATGACTGCTTTTGGGTCTTCTAAACAGAAGTAAAAGGTATGTGTATCCTATTATTTTTTTAAATATATTTTATTGATTTTTTACAGAGAGGGATAAAGAGTCAGAAACATCGATGAGAGAGAAACATCGATCAGCTGTCTCCTGCCCACCCACCACTGGGGATGTGTCCGCAACCAATGTACATGCCCTTGACCGGAATCAAACCTGAGACCCCTCAATCCGCAGGCCGACGCTCTATCCACTGAGCCAAACCGGTTTCGCCCAATGTATCCTATTATTAATACTTCAGATAACTAAGTTTTGTGTTTGTTTTTTTTACAACATCATGATGCTTTGCAACCACCTTGCTTTCTTTAACGCATGACTAGACGTGGAGAGTTTGAGGGCAGGAGACCCAACTTACTTGCTGACTGAAAGCCCTAAGGTTTTCAGGGTTTAAGTGGCCTCTCCCAGTTCATCAGAACTCTGGGCTGGTTACTATTTGCGTTCAGACTAGAAGCTAGGTCTCCTATTCACTAGTCCCCTGTTCTTTCCATGCCTCTTGATAAATAGACTTACATGCCTAATTACGAATACTCCGTAAGCGTGGTGGCTGGCTATACTTCATAGAGCAACGATTACCTGAAACAGTTTCACAAAATCAACTTAAGTTCTATCTAACTTGCCCTGTAGTCTCACGAAACATCTCTAGAAGTAACATTAACTTTCCAAAGTTCTGCACAACTCAGAATCGAAGACAAACTATTTCCCACTTTCCTTCAGCAGATTCTGTTGGTCAGATGTATTTCAATACATCATATTTTTCTGCCAGTTATATTTCCAGTTATTTCTTCTTGGAATTATATGAGTGCACCATCATGAAATTCAGGGGATTTCAAATTTTTGCCCAGATTTTTTTTTTCTTTCTAAAACCAAAGTGATTTGGGGGGGAATATGTATAATGTATATTTGATATGTACCTATATTCATTATTAGATATAACTTAATATCAATATAAAGTAGTTTTAACACAAAATATAGTTTTCTTTTATTTAGAACAGAAAATATAAGCCACTTCAATCTACACATAAATTTCATCTGGATAAAATGTCAAGGATTAGCCCTGTAATGACTGGAATCATTTTCTAAGCCCAGTCTTTTCCACGGGGAATCCTAGTTCACCCATTTTCATGCTGCTGTGAGCTCCAGAAGTTTTCAGCCCCTTTTGTTTGAATCGCAGCAATTGCTGTAAATTATTCGCTGAGCCAGCGGTACACATCCTAAGGCTCGCTTGCACATCAAGATAAAGTCTAGTGGTGCCTGCAGCCTGTAATATTACCCATTTTTTTTAGGAGATTGGTATCAGTGAGACACCCTGTCGCAGTGGTGTGTGGTTTTTTCAATCCCCAAGCAGTCATGACAGTGAGGTTTACCCTGAGGCGACCGTTCTCATACATTTCGCAGGTTGTCTCCACTTCCCTTTCTTCGTCAGCGTGGCGTGATGGTGGGGAGGCGGGGGAGGTGTGATCTGCCTTCATTTCCTTATTTATTATTAACAGAGACTCTTGGTCTACCTTCTACCTAGAAATCAGCAGGTTTCAGAACTCATCGGGGCGTATTCATTTCAGTCTCTCGGCAGTTTCTCTTCCTCGCTCCTGGACTCGGCTCCTCTGCCTCAGCTGTTGGCCCAGGATGCTGGGCTGGAGAGGACCCTGCTGCTGTCTTTCTCCTTCTCACCTTCGTTTCTGAAGTGATACTTCAATAGGCACACTCATCCCACTGTACAAGAACCCCATGTTGGCGGGGACTGACTGGGTTTTAGGCACCAGCATGTGTGGGAGGAAACTGATGACTAGCATCTTTCCAGCCACTGTTCTGAGTGCCAGAAACAACGCACAAACCGCCCCCTGGAGCACTCACAGCGCGTCTGACACTTGGACAGAGGAAGCAGCTGAAGGTCAAGGAGGTGAAGTGACTGGTCTAAAGCACCCAAAACCAGGAAGAAATGGAGCTATGATTCAAACCCAGCCCTCACTCCAAGCTTAATTTCTATTTTTACTACTGCTTAAGTATTCCTAAACTCTACCCATTTCTTGGTAAATCCTAAGTGCTAATAGTGTTTATAGTCTGCTTTCTAAAAAACTGTAATATCTTCCATGCTACTTCACTTTTAATTCTCCTTTTTTTAATATATATTTTATTGATTTTTTACAGAGAGGAAGAGAAGGTGATAGTTAGAAACATCGATGAGAGAGAAATATGGATCAGCTGCCTCCTGCACACCTCCTACTGGGGATGTGCCCGCAACCAAGGTACATGTCTTTGAACGAAATCGAATCTGGGACCTTCCAGTCCACAGGCTGATGCTCTATCCACTGAGCCAAACCGGTTAGGT